TAGAATGAAAGCCTTGATGACTTCAACATTTCCTCCACTTATCATGATGTTTCTTATTGGTCCAGTTTTGAGAATTTTCCTTAATATTGAGGTGTAATTCATGTGGAAGGCCACAGTCCTTGTCTTGTTCATTTTTAGCAAGCAAGTCGTATCATCTGCATATCTTAGGTTGTTAATGAGATTTCCTCCAATCCTGATGCTTCATTCTTCTTCATATAGTCCAGCTTCTTGGATTATTTGCTCAGCATATAGACTAAATAAGTGTGGTGAAAGATACAACCCTGACACACACCTTTCCTGATTTTAAACCACACAGCGTCCCCTTGTTTTGTTTGAACAACTGCCTTAGTCTATGTACAGGTTCCACATGAACACAAGTGTTCTGGAATTTCTCTTCACAATGTAATCCACAGATTGTTATGACCCACACAGTTGAATGCCTTTACATCATCAATAAAACTCAGGTCAACAACTTTCTGTTATTCTGTTTTTATCCAAAATCCATCTGACATCAGCAATGATAACGCTATGATAGCTATAGACATATAGGCCCCTGGATTCTTGCCCCAGTCAGAAATCACTCTGACAATGAATAATTCAGCTCGCTGTGATTAAAACCCCAACTTACTCAGAATGCTAAGCATAATTCATTTTAGTGGATGAACCTATTTTCTTACTGGATCAAAAAAAACCCCACTGCCATTGAGTCAATTCCAACTCATCGCAACCCCCATTGGGTTTCCAAGGCTGTAAACCTTTACGGAAGCAGATTGCCTCATCTTCCTCCTGCAGCTGGTGGCTGAATTGCTGACTTTCTGGCGAGCATCCAAATGCTTTACCTACTGCACCATCAGAGCTCCTTTCTTACTGGGTAAGGGTCCTGCAATACTCTTGGAAAGCTGAGAATTGAAAAGGTGGTAGAATAAATCAAACTCCATGTATTACTGTTCCTCTCCTAATATTAATAATATTCAGTATATGTTTGATATTTAAAAAAAAAAAAAAGCTAAGCCCACTGTCACAGAGTCAAGTCAGACTCATAGAGATCCCCATTGGGTCTCCAAGGCAGTAAATCTTTACGGAAATAGATTGCCTCATCTTCCTTCAGCTGAGTGGCTGGTGGGTTTGAACTGCCAACCTTCTGGTTAGTGGTCAAATGCCTTAGGCACTGAGCCACCAGAGCACCTTTGATATTAAAAAGTATCTGTATAATATTTCAAAGGAAGGTTGGGCGATCTACTTCCGTAGTAATACAGCCTCGGAAACCCAAGGAGGGGTCGCTATGAGTCAGGTCTGACTCAACAGCACATAACAACAACAACAACAACATTTCAAAGCATCTGGAATGCTGGGGATTTGACAGATGAGCATTGTGATTCCAATTTAAAATACAAAAGTTAAAATATATGGGTAGGTAATCAGTAAAATATCAGTAATCGATATTAGACTTGAGATTTTAAGTTGAGAGGTCAACGGTAGTTAGAAACAACAGCTGCTAACAGAATCATACAGGATACTGTAAAACTACTGAAGGGGTGCCCCCATATGCTACTTCCGTATCAGAAGTGGAACCTGTATTTATTTATATATTTGCTCCCCAGACTGAGAAACACTGACTTAAGAGAATTTGACTACGTCTGTGAAAAGTATTGGACTATTTGCAAAAACCTGAAATTCATTATTAGTTCAATTTTCTAGATTTGTAAAACTCTTTAAGTAGTCTGAGAAAATTGTGTTAGGTTATGCATCAAAAGTGTTTTTTTAAACATATATATATAATTAAAAGTATAAATGCAGTTAAAATGTTGAAGGGAATTAATTAAGCTGTAAACAGGACTGACTTTTAAAGGAATTTAATTTCTTCAACTGGAGTCAAATGTTAATCAATGGGAAATTTAAGGGCATTTTTCTCTATTCTCCTAGATTAATAATTTCTAAGTTGAAATTGAAGGCTTAAAGGCAATTGCATTTTTTAAATTGTTACTCCAAAATTAGAATTTAAAAGGCAAAAAGTAAAGCAAGTCACAGCCAGTGATCCAGTAGCCACTTGACCTAACAATGATTCCTCTCTCTCTCTGAACTTCCCATAGGCCAGATGTGTTGCTAATGATTATTAGCAAGACATATACTTATCTTTTCCCTGTAGCCTCACAACTTCCTGTCCCAAGGGGCTACCAGAATGCTCTACAAATAGTAAATAACCATGTCTTATAAACAGAAATAATGGGGTAAAGTTATAACTTTTTAGCCACAGTCAACCACCCTGATGGAGTAAGTTTTTGGACTTGTTGGCTTGGGATCACGGTTGCAGGGGTCATCAAGCTCAACCGGCAGAACATACTACATATACCAGTCTACATGGTACTTTGGTGAGTACCACCTGGGGTCTTAAAAGCTTGCAAGTGGCCATCTAGATGCAATGATGGGTTTCTCCTTGTTTGGAGCAAAGAAGAATGAAGAAAACCAAAGACGGAAGAAAAGCAAAAGTGGAAACAATTAGTCCAAGGGACTAGTGGACCATGCAAACCTCAGCCTGTATGACCATGAGACCAGAAGAACTAGATGGTGCCTGGCTACCAATGTCAACCACTTGGAAGGGATCAGTGCACGAGATCCTGGATAGAGTGGGAAAACAATGTGGAACAAAACTCAAAATCACAAAAAGAAAAAAAGGCCAGGCCTACTGGTCTGATAGAGCCTGGTGAAACCTCCAAGACCATGGCCCCTAGTTAGCCTTCAGGCCTGGACTGAACTCACTCCTGTGACTTCCAGCCAAATGATAGGCACATAGGGTGAATACTCATACCCCTTAGAATGATCAATCATGGGAGAACAGAAGGGCAGTATTTGCACAGGAAGATAGCTCAGGGGGCAGGACTGCATAGGAAAGGAGGACAGAGAAAAGAGGTAACTACAGGGAGGAAATGGGAAGAAAGCTGTTACATTGTGGGGAACTGCAGCGAATGTCATGAAACAAAATGTGTATGAACTGCTGTATGGAAAATTAATTTGGTCTGTAAACTTTCACCGAAATCACAATAAAAATAAAAATATATATATACACAGCTCAGAGACTAAGAATCTGATCAAGGTCACACAGAGGCAGACTCAGATCCAAGTTTTGAACGCCACCTCTATCCTGATGACTTCTATCTCTGGTTCAGAACTCCCCTCTGAACCCCAGAACGAGCTCCTATTTGCCCCCTAACATCTGCACCTGGATGTCTAACCAGCTGCTCAAACTTAATGGGGCCAAACAGAATAGAAGATCATCCCAATCTTGTTAGTGGCACCTCCATCCATCCAGTTGCTGAGGTCAAAGTAAGATGTCATCCTTGATTCCGCTTCCCTTGCACAACCTATACTTATCTGTCAGTTTGTTCTATCTGTCCTACCTCTCAAAATGCATCCCAAATGTGACCACTACTCTAATCTACACCCTAATCTAATTATCATCTTTTCCTTGTCAATTCGGTCTCCAGAGACACCAGAACGACAGTATTAAAATATAAATTAGATGTCAATGTTCCTGCTTATAATTTGTCAATGGCTTCCCAATGGAACTAGAAGAAAATAAGACTTCTTACCATGGACTACAGGAGCTCTGGTAGCATAGTGGCTAAGGCACTTGACTGCTAACCAGAAGGCTGGCGGTTCAAACCCACCAGCCACTCCTCGGAAGGAAGGTTGGGCAATCCTACTTCCGTAGTGATACTGCCTCGGAAACCCAAGGAGGGGTCGCTATGAGTCAGGGCTGACTCGACGGCACATAACAACAACAACAACAACAACCATGGACTACAAGGCTAGATGTGCGCATACCTGAGTTCACTCTAAGTTCACTGGGCTGCTTCCCTGCAAACGCTGAGGACGGTAGCTGCCTCAGGACCTTTGCATCAACTTCTCAGAACTCAAATGTCAGACCAAAAGCTCAGAGAAGCCTCTCCCATCACCCTGGCTAAAACAGCACCAACCAGGACTCCTCCCCAATCCCATCAACCTGTTCTCTGTTCCTCAAGTAGTGCCTATTTGTCTTGCCTGCACCTCCCCATCCGCCCACACACACACACTAAAGCTAGGGCTCCTTGAGAGCAGGGACCTGTTCACCGGTGGGTCGAGAGGACGCGCTCAGAACACATTTGTTGAATGGACTTAGTACTCCAAAACCCTAGACTTCTCTATTCCCTAAAAGAAATGTGTGGTCCCAAGTCTCCCGCATTCCAAGCCACAGTTCTCAGATGCGAAACCAGGGGTAAATGGAACAGGAAGCACAGGCCGGATCTTGATCCACGGCCGGTTCCCTTGAAGAGTTAGTTAAGCCCCAGAGCCCGACTTTCACCGAAGACTCCACTTCTGGGCCTCGCAGATAGAATGAAAAGACAAGGGGGGGGGGGGTGGCGGACGCCAAGGTTCCCCCGTCCCTCTACCAGCTCTCCCCGTGAAGCGGCCCGCCCCGCCCTGGGCACGCGAAATGAGAAGGACGAGCCGTGGGGGCGGAGGGGAGAACACTAGGATTCGGCCCTCCACATCTCGCCGAAAAAAGTACCTGGCTCCACGGGCGGCTCCGGACTCCTCCTCCTGCGCCCTCGCGTCGCGCAGTGCTTGCTGGACTCCGTAGTCCTTTCTTGGTTATCAGTCCACTCTTCCCAGAAACCTTTGGGAATCAAGACAAAGCGGGGGGCGGGGAGAGAAGAGGGAGCGCAAGGGCTTCTGGGAATTGTAGTTTGTAAAGGTCAATCAGCTAAAGTGCTTGAGGAAAAAATTTCGGTAATAAGTCTTAGAAAACTACATTTGGACTGTGAGTTTGGATTTTTTATTTTTAATGTAGATATATGGTGTTTTTCTCCCTTGCAGGCCAGTAATTCTGTTTGTAGAGTACAACTCCAACTGAGATTCAGAGGAACTACCAGTCCCATAAAGTGTTGCACGTCGAAGCCCTTTGAAAAAGCAAGGTCGGTCGCAGCGCAGGCTTGGTGGCGCGAGTTCGGCAATAAGGAAAGATGGCGGCCCCGACGTTTACTGCTAATTTGTACTCCCTGCTGTTCCGCAGGACCTCCACGTTCGCCCTCACCATCGCCGTGGGCGCCTTATTCTTCGAGCGCGCCTTCGACCAAGGCGCGGACGCAATCTACGAGCACATCAACGAGGGGGTGAGGGCCTGGGCCATCCCTGACCTTGAGCCCGCCAGAGTGATGACGGTGGGGGTGGGGCGGGCCTCAGTCTACCTTTACGAGGAAGGGGGTGATCCATGGGAGGCTGTTTCGAGACTGCCGCCCTCTCGGCCCAGTGTGAATCATAAAACGTTAAACGGGGTGAATAGATCCCACTTTTGCAGGGGTTGTAAGTATTGAAGTCTACCACGCCATGAACCCACTGCTCATTTGTAAAAGCAAAAACTGAAGCGTGATGAGAACAAAGGACTTAACTAGCAAGTCAGCGGCAAGAGAGAGCTGGACCCCGGGTCCCCTGCCTCCTCTGAGGATTTCAGGGCGAGATTTGAGTAGGCGGTGTTTGTAGAGTACAACAACTCCAACTGAAAGCATTTTCATAGATACCATGAATGGTTTTTTTAGATAGCACTTTCGCATTCCCGAGGCTTCCCGCATAGGCAGCTTTGTATTAATGATGATTAAAATTGGTGGCTTGAAATCAGAACTCTGGGTGGGAATACCCGGCTATGTCATTTAATACCTGAATTACTTTGAGCAATTAACTTCTCTCAGCTGTCAGGTTTCTTATTGGTGAAACAGAGATAACAGTAATTCAAGAAGTTAAACCTTCTCCCCTGTCTGCTTATCTGACATTTCACATTTACAATAATGGTGTTAAAAAAAAAGCCTGTTTTGCACATTAACAACAACTTAGGTCAGAACCAGTGGGCTCTGATGGTTAAGGTTATGTGTCAGTTCTTTTGGGCCATAATTCTCAGTGATTTGGCAGTTAAATAATGATGTAGTCATCCTCCATTTTTTCATCATGCTGATTTCACATAATGACCTGGGCTTTGGAACCTAATCATGTCGATAAGTGAGGAGTGGGTATATTGTGAGGATCGATGTTATGAGATACTGGTAAAGAGCCACAAAGGGGCTCGGGTGGTGTGGTAGTAGTAAGGCATTTGGCTGCTAACCAAAAGATTGGCAGTTCAGAAGCCACGGGCTGCTCTGCAGAAGAAAGATGGGGCAATCTGCTTCCATAAAGATTTACAGCCTTGGAAACCCAAAGGGAGTCACTGTGAGTCAGAATTCACTTGATGGCATTAAGTTTGGTTTTGGTTGGTAAGGATCCACAGTGCCTGGTAGGTGGTACCACTCAAAAATAACATTGACTTGGAGCTCTGGTGGCATAGTGCCTAAGGCATTTGACTGCTAACCAGAAGGCTGGCAGTGCAAACCCATCACCTGCTCCTCAGAAGGAAGACTGGGAAATCTATTTCCATAGAAATACTGCCTTGGAAACCCAAGGAAGGGTAGCTGTGAGTTGAATCTATATGACTGGCAGTGAGTTTGTTGTTTGTTTATTTTCATTTCTCAGGGCAAAGTGGAAACATAAGATAGGGAATAACCACACCTTTTAAGCTAATTTTGTGCTAGGTGCTGTGCATGCCTTTTGTCATCAAACCTCATGATAATCCCTCACTGACAGATGTCGTCGTTCCTCCTCTTCGCATACGGAAATTTAGGTTCATCTTAGGAAAGATCTCCAGACAGCCCCATTCCACCACTCTGGTTTTTACTTCTAGGCTGTCTGATTCCACAGCCAAGATAGGTTCTTTCCACTAAAGCTGTACTGCCTGTGACTGGGGGAGTTTTCTTCCCATATGAAAGGGCCGTCACTTCTGTCTCCTGTATGCAGTTCTGTTGGCTACTCCTGCTGATCTGAGAAGGCATCTAACTGGTTGTCATCACAACCTACCTATTTTCTACAAGTGCTATTGTTGTTGTTGTTATGTGCCGTCGAGTCAAACCCGACTCATAGCGACCCCTCCTTGGGTTTCCAGGAAGTATCACTACGGAAGTAGGATTGCCCAACCTTCCTTCCGAGGAGTGGCTGGTGCGTTTCAACTGCCAGCCGTCTGGTTAGCAGGCAAGTGTCTTAGCCACTATGCTACCAGAGCTTCTCAAGTGCTATTAGGAATGAGAATATAGTTAGTGTTCCTGTCCTGAGGATCGTAGGCCTGAGGAAGTAAAAACTGGCACAGTGTGAAATATGTAGGAATGATGCACTTAACTCTGAGGAAGGAGCCCTGGTGGCTCGATGGTTAAGCACTTGTCCGTGAGAGTAGAGACCTGGCAGTCTGCTCCTGCAAAGGTGACAACCTAGGAAACTCGACAGGGCAGTTCTGCTCTTACCACATAGGGTTGCTGTGAATTGCAATTGACAGCAGCACAACAACATGCACTTAGCAAGGTCCCTGGGTGGTGCAAACGGTTTGCCCTTGACTGGTAACCAAAAGGTCAGCACTTCACACCCACCCAGCACCGTCACAGAAGAAAAGTCTGGCAGTCTGCTTGCATGAAACGACAGCCGAGAATACTCTGTGGAGCTCAGTTCTGGTCTAACAAACGGGATCACCGTGAGTCTGAATCAACAGCAAGCGGTTTGGTGGTTTCTTATTAGGCACTTAGGGCCTCTTGGCTAATACCTGGAAATCCAAGAACTGAGACATTTCCAGACCCTGTTCCTTAGTACCACCCATTGCCGTCAAGCCGATTGCAACTCATGCAAAGTTATATGCTTTTTGGTCAGTTTCCTCAGTCTCCCTGAACCTCAGTTTCCTGTCAAAAAGAAAATCTTCCCAGTACCTTTGTATAGTGATTAAGAGCATGAGAGCATTTTATGAACATTAGGAGCTGTGTGTTGAGCCTAGTGTTGCTTCCATTTTACTTACTACAACTACGTGTTTTCAGTCCCACACCGTCTACCGTCTGACTCCACAGCCCAGGCAGACTCTTCCCCCACGTCCTGTCCTGCCAGTGGTCAGGCCCCATTATCTTTCCATATGAAAGTGCTACCACTCTTAGGTTTCTCTCAAGCTTGTTTTAGAGACCAGGGCAGTGGGAACGGTTCTTAAATGTAAGCACCAAAGCTAAAGGTTGGTGGTTCTTGTCTTTCAAATGCAGAAGCTGTGGAAACACATCAAACACAAGTACCAGAACCAAGAGTAGTTCCCCCGAAGCCACCGTCCACAGGAGAAGGACCAGTCCACCTACTGGCTATTTGCCCCAAACCAAGGAAGGGCTCAGCTTGAAGATCGAGCTCAAGTTATTCTTCACAGCCCACCTTTACCTGCTGGCAAGAAATGGCTTCCCCAACAGACTCTTAACTTGTGCTGTGTTTAAAATATGTTTACTGAGAGGTATCAGCAAATAAATGTCAGTTGACCTTGGCATCTGCTTCTGAATCAGGTGCTTTGTTAACTCCAGTTGATCTTCACTTGACTGTTACTTGAGAACACTTCAAAGCCCTCTGCAAACATCTGAAGGGCAGAGTCCACCATTTTGGGTTTCTGATTAGCTTCCCAAGAATTCTGGTTTTCAAAACATGAGCCAAAGTTAGAGATGTTACCTTCCACTTTGGCTTCTGAACCTATCATTCCATTGTTAAATTTCCCAGAGAAGAGCTAACTGGCTTGGCTGTAGGGAGGTACTGTAGCCTAGGTTGGGGAAAATATCTTGGCCTGGGTGTCTTGGGCCGTGCCCCGCCTCACATTCTAGTCTCCATCCTTGCCTTTAACCTACTGAATGTCTTTGTGTGAGTTACCATACCACTCTGGGCCACAGCCCATCTTAAACCAGAACCCAAGCCTTCTAGAACTGTTAACTGATGAGTTCAGCTTATTACGGTACCTATTTGGTGGGTTTGAGTTCTCACTTCACCTGTTATAGCTGTGTGGATCAAGGGCAAAGCACTTGACCTTGCTGACCTTCAGTTTCCTGGTGTTACAGTGGGGATAGTAGAAGTGATAACTGCATGGGGTTTTTGTGAATTTAAATGAGGAAAAGCAACATAGTCAAAGATGACACATGGAGAGATGCTTAAGGACTGAGCCAGGTGGTATGCACCGGAAGGCTGTCAGCGGTGGAAACGTGAGGAAGAGGGCTTTGAAGAACAGTGTGATCTTTCAGCGTTTCATTGGCTGCTGCATTTGAGGCATAAATGGTGACAAATGGAGCACGTGAGGCTTGAACTCACATAGGGAAGAGGCTATGAATTGCATCCTGTCTGGTTACAGAGAGGGCCAAGGACTCTAGGGTAAACAGTGTAAGGAAAGGGAATGTGCCAGAGAGACAGGGTGGCCAAGGGAGGCCTTGGAGGAAGTCGTGTGTAAGCTGAGACTGAGGATATAAATATGAGCTGCTGTGTCGGGAGGCAGAGCAGAGGCAGCAGCAAGTTCAAAGGACCCAAAGTGGGGAAAACCCTTGTATCTGAAGAACTAAAAGACCCGTGTGTGATCAATGGTGTTGAAGGGTTGAGAGTAAATGAGTCAGATGATTCAGAGCATAGTGAAGCATGGGGAATAATCTAGATTTTACCAAAATTATAGTGAGAAACTTCTGAAATATTGTCAAGTGAAGGAGCAACAAATTCTGTCATAAAAATGCCAGTCTTGCAGCTGTGGGGCAGTTAGATTGGCAGAGGGGTAGAGGTGGAAGCAGAGACTACCTAGGGTGATGCCATTTTCCCAGTTAGAGATGGTACCATTAAGGGACCTTGGAGACTGTGACCTGGCTGGGAGTGGCCAGTGCTCTGGCTCGGGAAGGTAAGTGTCTCAGCTGCCTGCTTTCTGTTCACCTGGGATCTGGTCCTTAGCGCGATCCAGCCAGAGCACGTGATAGTGGAGGATTCAGGACAGGAAACCCATGCAGTTTGCCCTACCTGATGCATGGCTTTCGGAGGATGAAGTTGAGACCCAGAAAAATGAAAACACTGAGGGCCACCAGAGTGCCTCATGATCTGCCACAAGGTGGTACAGCTGGGCGGCAAGAGCAGGACTCGAACAGAAGGAGAGACTAAGACTTTAGGAATGATTCCACCATCTGAGTAGAGGATGACACGGGGTTGAAGATTGCCACTTCCGTTACACTTTTCCCAATGATTTAAGGGCAATAGGTTGGTAAATAATAATAAAGTAGGCACCAGTCTCTGAGTTGAGTTCTTTTAGGCATTCTGTGCGATTTTATGGTGCCTGATGACAAGCTCAGGAGCTCTCGTGGTGTGGTGGTGAAGGCACTTGGCTGCTAACCAAAAGATTGGTGATTCTAGCCCACCAGCCACTCCATGAAAGAAAGATGAGGCAGTGCGCATCTGTGAAGATTTACAGCCTTGGAAACTGTTACTAACAGAGGTCGCTATGAGTCGAAATCCACTCAATGGTAATGTGTTTGGATTTTTTGGTTTGGATAACAAGCTCAGGGTGGAAGGATCAGACATAGTTGATCACTTGTCTTGGGTGGGGCACATTCCCAGACTCCACCCAACCAGTAAGGATAGCCATGGCCCATTGTACAGTTAAGATGCGTCATAATTAAAAAACCCCAAACTCATTGCCCTGGAGTCAGATCCGACTCACAGCGACCCCTCCTTGAGTTTCTGAGGCGGTATCACTATGGAAGTAGATTGCCCCATCTTCCTTCTGAGGAGTGGCTGAGTGGGTTTGAACCGCCAGCCTGCTGGGTAGCATTCACGTACCTTAGGCACCACACCACCAGAGCTCCTTAGTCATGTGCATTTCTAGGTGATTGTCTCTTTTCCCTTTTAATGAGAGGTAAACAATAATAAATTTTGTTTTACTTGTAGTGCTATGTTCAATACCAAAAACAAACAGAAAGAACAATGCCACTGAGTTGATTCTAGTTCATTACAACCCTATAGGACAGAGTAGAAATATACCCCATAGGGATCGCAAGGCTGTAAATGTACAAAAACAAACTGCCTCATCTTTCTACCACAAAGTGGCTGGTGGGTTCAAACTGCTGATCTTTTGGTTAGCAGCTGATGCTTTAAACACTCTACCACCAGAGCTCCTTCTATGTTGAATAGTGTCCCCTGAAATTCATGTCTACCCAGAACCTCAATTTCCTTATTTGGAAACAGAACCTTTGTAGATGTCATTAAAAGGAGTTCTGGTGGTGCGGTGATTAAGGTATTTGGCTGCTAACCAAAAGGTTGGTGGTTCGGACCCACAAGCTGCTCTGCGGAAGAAAGATGGGGCAGTCTGCTTCTATATAAAGATTTACAACCTTGCAAACCCAATGGGGGTCACTATGAGTTGGAATTTACTTGATTGCAGTGAATTTGGAATTTGGTTTGATATGTCATTAGTTAAGATGAGGTCATACTGGATAGGTTGGGCCCTAAAGCCAACGACTGATGTCTTTGTAAGAAGAGCAGGTGAAGACCCACAGGGAAGAAATCTATGTCAAGACAGAGGCAGGGATTGGAGTTAGCTGCCTTAAGCCAGAAACATAACAAGTTGCCAGTAACCACCAGAGCATGGGAAGAGACAAGGAAGGATTCTTCTCTAGAGCCTTCAGAGAGAGTATGGCCCTGCCAACCTCTTGATTTTGAACTTTTAGCCTCCAGAACTATGAAAGAATACATTTCTGTTGTTTTCAGCCTCCCAGTTTCTGATAATTTGTTATGGCAGCTCTTAAGAAACTAGTACACCGATTAAATTGGCCAAGCTAAAAAGTGGTATCACCTAACCTTATCAAGGCCAGGAACAAATGACACTCATCCTGCTGTGGGAATGTGTGACTTGGTACCATTTTTCCTAAGGATATTTTGTGCATATGCATGAAGAACCTTAATGTGCATACCTCTAACCCCAAAACAAACCCTCTTGCAAATTTTCCTTAAAAGAATGAAGGGTATGTCCACAAGAGATGTTCATCACAGTGTTGCTTATAATAGGGGGACAAAATGGAAATAAGTAAAATACTCAAAATAAGAATTAAAGCTGCAGTGAAATACTATGTAGTCATTTAAAACCAGGTTTTAGTTGGGAGAAAATACCCAACAGATACAGCAGTGATGCAGGAAGCATCAAAAGAAGATGGAAGGAATACACGGTCACTGCACCAAAAAGAACTGATCAGTCATCCATTTCAGGAGGTGGCATATATTCAAGAACCAATGGTATTGAAGGAAGAAGTCAAAGCTGCACCGAAGGAACTGGTGAAGAACAAGTCTCCAGGAATGGACGGAATACTCATTGAGATGTTTGAACAAACAGATGCCCCACTGGAGGCACTCACTCAGCTATGCCAAGAGATTTGGAAGACAGCTACCTGGCCATCTGACTGGAAGAGATCCATATTTGTACCCATTCCAAAAAAAGGTGATCCCACAAGATGTGGATATTATCAAATGATATCATTAATATTGCATGCAAGTAAAATCTTACTGAAG